AGCCCCCTGGCCCCGGGGCGGGGCCCTCGCTGCCCCGACGGGCACCTGGGTGGCCTGCATGAGCTGCTGCCAGTGGCGGTCGCGGATGGCGGGGTTCTGCAGCTCGCTCACGGCCCGCAGCGAGGTGATCATGTTCTTCACGGTGTTGTCCAGCCCCACGAAGGCGTCCCAGGTCTTCATCTCCTTGTCGAGCGACCTCACGTCTTTGGCAAACTTCTTGCAGTCGATGTCCATCTGCTCCACGTTGATGTCCTTCCACTTGGTGGTCTTCCAGTCGTCGAAGCTGGTGTTCACCTGGGGGAGGCACTCGCGGTTGGCTCCTGCGGGGGAGGCTCAGGACGGCACCCGGGCCGCCCGCCCGGCCGCCCGCACCCGCGCCAGTGAGGAGACTTGGAGCCAGTGACAGAGTTTGAGAGAGCGGGCAGGCCCAAGGGAAAAACAACCCCGTCGCAAAGATGCCACTCAAGCCCGGCCGGCGTGGCTCGGCAGTTGGGCATCGACCTATGAACCAGATCGCGGCTCGATTCCCGGTCAGGGCACAGGCCCGGGTTGCAGGATCGATCGATCCCCAGCAGGAGGCGGCCGATCAGTGACTCTCCCATCACGGATGTTTCTATCTCCCTCTCCCTCTCCCTTCCTCTCTCTGAAATCAATAAAGACATATATATATGTGTGTTTTTTTTTTAAGATACAACTTAAAAGATAAAAAAGTCAAACTTAAAAATACAACTTGAAAGTTAGCACTTAAAATCTATTTTGGCACAAAACCAGTTGGGACATAGACGGACTGAGCCACACAACCAACCCCCAGCATCTAACCGACACACAGAGCGCGTTCCACCCACCAGAAGCAGGACACGCTTTTTTTTTTTTAATTCCAAGTGCCCACGGACCACTGACCAAGACAAACCCCACCCCGAGCCACACAATAAGCCTTAAGAAATTAAACGTAGTTGAAGTCATGCTGCGTGCTCTCTGACCACGTGGAATCGAACCAGAAATCAAGTTAGAAAGGCAACAGGGAAACCCCCCAAACGCTCAGAAATTAAAAACACGCTTCCGAATAGTCCACGGCTCAAGCGGGGACCTCCAAAGGAATTAAAAATGACATAGAACTGAAGGAAGTAGCGAGATACGCGGGATACAGCTGAAGCCGAGGGGCCCGTTTTGTAAACGCTGAACATCTGCACTGGAAAAGGCGGAAAGCCTCAAATCAATAAAGATCCAGTCGAGAAACTAACGAGAGAGAGGAAAGGAAAAAAAAAAAAAATGCCAATAGGCCCGAAGCAAAGAGCGGGAAGGAGCGAATAAAGACAAGGCCGGGCACCAGTGACGACGGAAGCCGCGAAACAGCGGAGAAAAAGCGTTACCCGCAACGCGGGCTCTTTGAAAAGTCGGTGAACTTCATGGTCTATAAACCTCTGGTGCCGACGGCGAGGGCGAGGGCGGACACCCCGCATCGCCGGCGTTGGGGGCGCCACGGGAAAGGGCGCCATTTATCACCAAAACCTCCCCAAAGAAAAATCTCCAGGCCCAGCCGGTTTCACTGGAAATCTTGCCGCGCAGTCAAGGGGGCGTGAACGCCCGTTTTCCACAAGAGTGTGAAAGAAAAGCGGTCCCTTGCCGGTTCCTCTCACCCTGGTGCCCGATCCGAAGGCGATCGCGAGAGGCGGCAGAGCGGAACCTGTCGCGGGCTCGGACACAGGCATCCTCAGCGGATGCTTAGGAAGCCGAGGCCCGCGACACGCAGAAAGACGCCGGGCCGCGGCCAGACGGGCTTTGTTCTGACGGCCGGAGCTCGAGCGGTGTCACGGCGCCGTTTCGGCCGACGAGAGACGGAAAATCGCGCGGCCACACCGTTCGGCACAGAAAGAACGTGAGCATCGGCCGGCGCGCTCAGGGGCTGAGCGTGGGCCACGCGCGGCAGGTCGCGGGCAATTCCCGGCCGGGCTGCTCATCTCCATCCCCAGCTGAGCATTCAAATAATAAAAAGACCCTGTGGGCAAATCACAGATCTGACGAAGGACTGATTTCTAGAAGAGATAAAGAAATCTCGAAACTCGAGAGAGAGGGAGAAAAAAGCCCAATTAGAAAATGGGCCAGAGGGGCGCCCAGTCCACAGAAGAGGCTGCCCGGGGGTCGGTGGAACCGCCCGTGAGAGACGCTCCCCGTCGCCAGCCAGTCGTCGGGCATGTGACCAAAGCCTCAGGGGTCTTTCTCTCCGGGAGATTAGGGGATATTCCTTATTTTTAAAAGTTTTTAAAGAGAGGTGGAGGTGAGAGAGGGTGAGAGGAGGGAGACAAGCGGGAGGCAGTGGAGCTCGCGGCCCGTCACCTACAGAGAAAATGACAGAGAGACGCCCATCTCGGGGTCCCTCGGGTGCCTCCATCAGGGACCGGGAAGCTGGGGTTGCATTTTCACTACCGAAGGATGGGGGAGCGTCCCCTCTTGGTGCTGAG